GATCCTGTAGATACACGCTCTACAACATCAGGAGAATACGTCCCCTTCTCACTCAGAAGGCAGCGCAGGTACTGATTCAGGCTCTTGTCATCTCCCGCCTGGACTACTGCAACTCCCTCCTGGCAGGTCTCCCTGCCACCGCCATTCGACCTCTGCAGCTCATTCAGAATGCAGCAGCTCGACTGGTCTTCAACCTTCCGAAATTCTCCCACACTACTCCACTCCTCCGCTCTCTTCACTGGCTACCGGTGGCCGCCCGCATCCAGTTCAAAACACTGGTGCTCACGTACCATGCTGTGAATGGATCGGGTCCAGCTTACATCCAGGACATGGTCAAACCCTACATCCCAACCCGCACTCTCCGCTCTGCATCTGCAAAACTACTCGTCCCTCCCCCACTGAGAGCAAAACACTCGACTAGGTCTCGACTCTTCGCTGTCCTTGCGCCGAAATGGTGGAACGCGCTCTCTGAAGACATCAGGACCGCAGAGAGCCTTCACATCTTCCGCCGCAAACTAAAGACACACCTCTTCAGACTCTACCTCGACTAAAGACTAACAAATTGTAGCACTTAAACTGTACTTGTGACGTCACTCATCTATAGCAAATTGTAAATTCGCTTATTTGAGGAAATTGCACTTTCTTGTTTCTTGTTCTCCTGAGTTTGTACCCTATGGTTGAATGCACTTATTGTACGTCGCTTTGGATAAAAGCGTCAGCTAAATGACATGTAATAATGTAATGTAATGTAATGTTGCACCTACCCCATGCTGTCTTCTTTGAGGTGTTTGCTGATCAGGTTGTGGAGCTGCAGAAATCAATACAACATCAGTACAGACAGCGTGGTGCATCAACACTCAAACACGGATCAAAACAAGAGACTTCAGGTGTCTTTGTGGTAGAAATTCATTTAGTAGATCAATGACATTTCTTACATTTAGCTCTTAAGGAGCGGCATACAGTAGTTACCTTTTTTCTGACACAGATGATAAACTAGAAGAGAGGAGAGGACGGAGGAGAGGACAGCAATAGCTGGACACAGAGAGACCAGCAGAGTCCAACACAGAGGACAGAGACATTCTGGAGTCTGGAGCAGAGAATCGCTGCAGTCTGGACCTGAAACAAAGTTGTGTCAATAAGTGTCATTAAACTCTGACCCACAACGATGAGACTGAATATTCTAGCAGCAGTTTATTGAAAATTCAAACTTTTCATTGAGCAGACGAACAAATATACTACATTGACATTACTATTTATTGTGCAAAAATGTTCTGAAAATTTCACAATTAAGTGAAACCTTCAACCGTTATAGAGCCTCAGATTTCACATGCAAAATGATCCCAAACCTCACTATGCATAAAAATACAGTGCATTTAAGGATGACCTAGAACCCGTCAGATACATGAAGTCTCAGATTTGGGAATATGATTATTTGTCTAAACCAGCGGTTCTCAAACTCAAGAATGCCTCGGCCCGCTTTGAAATCTGAAAATCTTTCGCGGCCCCCCCAAACCTTTGATCACAACTCTGATCAAAACGTAATGGTTTAATGACCTTAAGAATTTAACCAAAATCAAACATCCGCGAGCAAAAGTCCGTCCCCGCGAGAATCTCTGCTCGCGCTGGAAGGAGTTTTCTACGCGCTCGCTGTTGTTCTTTCTGACAGTGAGGTGGAGACGGTGCTTCAATTAATGTTTCACATAACTAATGTGCCGCATCATGAATATTTCTATATTAATTTCAAACTTTTAAAAATTGAAAATTAAAAAACTGATTATTTATTGTAAATGGCCTCTCGCGGCCCGCCTGCAGTACCTTCCCACACCCGGCCCACACTTTGGGAATCGCTGGTCCAAACCATTATACTGTTTTATTTCAGATTGGCCGTTGTTGATCCCCATAATCTTTCTGTAACACGTCATAATAGTTCACATTGATATAAGTATATATGAGGAATATTTTCCTACTGGATAATTGTTTAGTAAAATCATGCAATATAGATCCACAAAGTGTAAGCAGCATACTTACTGATTAAGACTCTTGTTGTGACGTTTCCGTTTCTGTAAAGAGTTTGGCCGCCAATTAATTCTTTATCCTCCACTGTTCTCTGTTCACTTCCACAGTAGTAGATTCCCTCATCAGAATCAGTGATGTTCATGATCAGCAGGTCATAAGAATTAAAAGAAGAGTTTCTCACAAATTGAAAACGAGGAAAATTCTGAGGATCTTTAGTGTCACTGTCCAGATTGTATCCTAATGTGGATGAACTACGACCTACTTTAAGGACGAGAGATGGGTGGTTCTCATGAGAGCAGTTCCTGTACCACACTGTGTATAATCCAGTTGATAGTTTACAATCACAGTAGAGAGTGATGTTGTCTCCTGGTCTGACTGTCACTGATCCAGAGATCCAATCATGACTGCAGGATGCAACTCCTGGAAAACAGAGAAAATGGTAAAAGCAGATTGAAATGTGCTCCGTGTTGGATGATTTCACATTACAGCAGGGGCAGATTTCTGCTCAACACAACAACAATGAGAGCGTAATTAAAACATCCAAAATAAGTCTCCATAGACTTACCTAAGAGAGCGACTAGAAAAGTGTGCAGCCCGTCCATGAGTGAGGATGACCGAAAGTTAACAGACAGACTGATTTTACCCAAAGATGTGATGCCTTTGAAGACAACGTGTTCAATGTGATTGGCCAGTCAAGTGGAACATTTTCTTCTGTGGGATCTTTCTATTGGTGCAAAGATGTTTGTGGTATTCTGCGCCTTCCTGCTTCCCGTACGTGATTACTCTGTAACGAACACAATAAGATAAGCCCAACTGAGGGCTTGACATTACACAGCCTTGTATTTCATACACTGTTGTGTCAGGAGGAGAGCTGGTAACGCTAGCAGCACTGGAGCTAACGGCTAATGTACAGAAGTTTTATTGAGAATATCTCAAAGTGACCTTTGCTCCCTTTTTTTTTGTTGATTTTTGGCTTTAAACACGTGATATGATTGAAATCCTGATGTCCTTTTGTTGTGTTTGTTGTTCTCTTCATGAGAACTGATAAAGAAGTTGTTAGCATTGAGAGACTAGAATGTTGTCGATGTCTTTGCATACCTTGACAAGCTGTTGCTCTCCATCCTGCTTCAGAGGCCAAACTGCGTGCAGACGTTCATCATCATCATTGTTTACAGTCTCTAGAAAGATCTATAAGAAGAGGTCAATTATCAATGATTACCAAAAAGACAGTTTATGGCTCAAACGATTATTTTGGAGGTTTGACCACCTAAACACAACAACAGGAGACGTGTGTTGGTCTACGTTCACACACATCATCTCAGAGGACGGATAGCAACACACAGCGTCAAAGCTTCATGGTGGGAACTATCAAACACACTTGTCTTTACATTGGGGCTGGAACACGGTGTGATATCACTGATGCTGTGGTTGCTGTGGTACCGCTATGTGCGTGTGTGTCTACACATGCCTGCATTGACGTTCACACTTCATGCTGTTTCCTCGTTCAGCCTCTGATTCTCTGTTGATCTACTGGGCCACAAATAAACTGTTTTGTGTGACTGCTGTTTCGTGGCTGTATGAGAAGAAAACATGACCTGGATGAAGGTAGATTTTTTTCCATATCCTGTGTCATGAACATTTATTGTACACTTTTACTTGTTTCCATTTCAGCACGCTGCTGCAATCTGACTAAATCTGACTTTTCATGCAAGTCTTTATTAAAGAAGGATTTTCCAAATAATAAATATTCACCCCAATTTAAACCAATAAACTGTCATCAACCATCTGCTTGTGGCGGGATCTTGGCCTAAATCAACAGTTTGTAGAGGAGACCGTACTTTTGTTTGTAGGTCCTGTTCAGTCTTTAATGGATTAAACAGCTACAGACCTCGTCTTTGCATACAGCACATGGGGTGCACTTGGAAATCAGCTCTCACTTATAGAGCATTACATGGTCAGACCCCAGCATATTTAGCATCCCAACACGCACTCAGGTCAACAATGATAAAATCTCTGCCCATCCCAGTAACTGGTCACAACCATCTGCGCTCCCGGCCTGTAGACCACCTTGAAGTTAAAAGGCTGTAGAACTACCGAGTTATCCGGGCGTTGGTATCCTTCATGTGGTGGAGCCACTGCAGTGGACCGTGATCCGAAAAGAGGGTAAATTGGCATCCCAGGAAGTCGTTACGCAGGGAGTCTGCAGGGTAAAAGGGAGCAAAAAGTCAGGTGTATGGAGAAGCGGTTCCCCACAGAGAGCCCGTTTCACCTCCTCAACCGCCCACTGGCACCGCTCGGTCCACTGGACCAGATCTGAGGCACCTTTCTGGGTCAGATCAGTCAAGGGGCTGGTCAGCTCCGCAAAGCCCGGGATGAATCTCCTGTAATACCCTGTCTGCCCCAAAAGCTGCCTCACTGCTTTTTTAGTCTTGGGCAGGCAGCGATAGCCGCAGTCTTGTCCACCCGAGGGCGCACCCGCTCGCCACCCAAGTGGTACCTCAGATACCGTACCTCCCTCCGCCCAATTTTACACTTCGGGTTGGTGCCTGACTCAGGCACTCCAGCACCGCACCTACCCGCTGCACATGCTCCGCCCAGGTGGTGGTGTGTATGGTGACGTCGTTCAGGTAGGCGGCAGCATATGCAGCATGTGGACGCAGCACCCGGTCCATGAGGCGTTGAAAAGGGTCCGGGGCACCAAACAACCCAAAGGGAAGCGTGGTGAATTGGTCTAATCCAAACGGAGTGGAGAAAGATGTCTTTTTCCGGGACGCTGGTGACAAGGGAATCTGCCAGTAGTCCTTGGTTAAATCCAGTGTCGTAAAAAACCGTGCGGTGCCCAATCGGTCCAGGAGTTTGTCGACCCGGGGCATCGTGTATGCATTGAACCGTGACACATCATTCACCCTGCGATAGACCACACAGAACCGTACAGAGCAGGGCTGCCCAAACTGGCACACGGACTCCGCCTACCTCCATAGTTTGAGGAGGTTGAGGTGGTAGATCTGTGTAACGCCGCCCCTGTCAGATCGCACCACCTCGTAGTCGACATCCCCCACTCGCCGTGGGACCACAAAGGGCCCTTGCCACCTGGCAAGGAGTTTTGAGCTGGAAGAATGAAGCAATGCAAGTACTTTTTCTCCCGGTGCAAATTGTCTCAGCTTGGCCCCTCTGTTGTACAGCCGTTGTTGACGCTCCTGGGCCTAAAGCAAATTCTCACGTGACAACTCACCCAGTGTGTGGTGTTTGGCTCGCAGGTCCAGGACTTACTGAATTTCTTCCTTACTGGGGCTCGGACCCTCCTCCCAGTGTTCCTTAAGCAGGTCGAGCACCCCTCGTGCTTTCCTGCCAAACAGCAGCTCGAAGGGAGAAAATCCCGTGGAGGCCTGGGGAACCTGCCGTACTGCAAACAACAGAGGGTCAAGACATTTATCTCATTTACGTTTATAGTCGTGAATGAATTTATGAATCATGGATTTATAACGTTTTATTCAGTGTCGAGATCTCTGATCCCCCCCGAGTTGGTTGATGAGAAGGATCCAGCACGTTGATCAATTAATGTCAAAAAGTTAACATTTATTTAGAAGAGAAAAATGAGCAATTCTCCCCAGATATCTGTCTCTAACTATTGCTTGCAAGCATGAGGTCAAACACACCAGCAAGTATTCCAGCGTTCTGTGTAATGGCGTCTCCGAGCAGTAAAAACGCTGAGTTTTTATACACATGAAGACCGTTCTCAGTGCCAGTTACGAGAAGCCACAAATCAAGTTGAGATAAGAACTCAGGTGAAGATGAGGGTAACACACAATGCTCCTTTGATCGAGGGTCTGCAAACCCTAAATTTTTCTCTCTCTACACATCAGGGTCAAACACTTGAGGCCCGGCTTTTAGAACCAAACAAATGTTTACAACAGGTTTTAACACTACATGCATCTCACATCAGCCATTCCACCAGTCCGTCAGTCCTGGTAAACACTGGTCCGAACAGACTTAACCCCCAGTAATTCATGTCCCCCACAGTGTGCGTGACATGAACAATGTGCCCTGGTCAGTCAGAATCTTTTTTGGGATTCCGACTCAGGAGATGACCTGAAACAGAGTCTGCGCAACACTTTTTGCGGAGATGTTGCGCAACGGCACTGCCTCGGGATATCGTGTTGCGTAATCCATCAGAACTAACACAAAGCGATATCACCATGCCCTCCGGTGAAATGGCCCAACGAAGTCCATACCTAAGCATTCGAATGGCACCTCCATTAACGGTAGCGGTCGCAAAGCACTCTCAGAATGGCCGGCTGGTTTACCAGCTGACACTGCGGGCAGGATGCACACCATCGGCACCAGATGCCTGGCCAGTAAAAATGGGCCATTATCCGGTCAATAGTTTTATCACTACCCATGTGTCTTGCCATCGGGTTATAGTGACCTTTTCCGGACCAACAACTGGACGTTCTTCTGACCTGTTTGAGTGTCTGGCATCAATCAGTCATCAGGGGACTCTGCCGTATATCAACCCGGGTCTTCCTGCCTTTCATCACCAAATTGTTTCGTTACACACAGACTGTTCTTGCTCACCTTCTTCCTTTTTTGCCCCAGTGTTCCGGAATCCTTACCTGCCGGTGGCCTCAGCTACTGTTTTTTTGACTCGTACTGTATATGGGATGAAAGTACTTTTTCCATATTTTTAATTGTCTAAACGCTAAAAAAGACATAAAAATTACATGGACCCTTTGCTCATGACAAGGACTACGTATTATTTTATTAAGCAATCACATTATGTTCAGATATATACGGGCATATATAAATATATATACTGTATATATTAAGCACTTCGATATTATTTTGTTTCCTTTGCATACAACTTGTTGACAAGAACTCAGCATCTGTAAAAGTATTTAATTCATTACATGTAAAATTGTACAACTCAGTCTTCTTCCTTTTTTGCCCCAAGTGTTCCGGAATCCTTACCTATGCCGGTGGCCTCTGCTAAAACTGTTTTTAAATTGACTCTTTAACTGTATTATGGGATGAAAGTACTTTTTCCATATTTTTAATTGTCTAAACGCTAAAAAAGACATAAAAATTACATGGACCCTTTGCTCATCACAAGGACTACGTATTATTTTATTAAGCAATCACATTATGTTCAGATATATACGGGCATATATAAATATATATACTGTATATATTAAGCACTTCGATATTATTTTGTTTCCTTTGCATACAACTTGTTGACAAGAACTCAGCATCTGTAAAAGTATTTAATTCATTACATGTAAAATTGTACAACTCAGTCTTGAACTTTATGTTACAAATCAAAAATAAAAGTTAGCTATAACGCTGTTGCTAAAATTGTTAGAAAAGTAAATATTTAACAGATTAAAAAATATATACATTTCGGATAGAAATAATGATACCTTTGCTGTCTACTTGATTATTAGTCTGATAACAAATTGTGAGCAAGCGACTTACACAAAACCACACAACTCTCTGAAACCACACAACAGCAAACAAGAGGAAATTTGTTCGGTTCCTGCTTGAGTGAAAACATGCCGTCCATCCTCTGCCTATTGGTGTTTTTTTACCTCCACAGGCCGGAACACAACTCGAGTGAAATATGCATCTTCACCCTGAGAGACAATGAGACGTTTGTTATACATATAGTATTTCATTCTTCTATTGTGCTTTTATATCATGAATCTGTGCCTGAGACGCATTAAAGCAACTGCAAATATGAAGAGATGGTTGCTAAAAGTGTGAGATGCTGAGTTGACACGTTCCAAAAATAGAATCATTAAAATACCCCGAAATAAAGTGCCCTAGTGGGTACTGTCTACTACCTGCCCCTCTCTTGTTTGTCCCATCATGTTTAGTCTCTTCTGGAGAGTTTGAGATTCTTCTTCTGCAAGTAAAAAAATAATACAGTGTCATTTTAAAAGGGTTACTGTCTGTTTGCAAATAACAAGATTTAAAGCTTCCCTAAATGTTTACATGAATGATTTAACAAAATCTGATTTGAAACCAAAGAAGTTAAAACACCTGTTTTCTGACAGAAGTGATAAACCAAAATGAAGGAGATGACGGTGGAAAGAATAGTGACGGCTGGAGCGAACACCATCAACAAGGAGGACTTCTCAAGTACAGGGTTTTCATTCCAGCTGCTGTGGTCAGGGCAGGAATCTGGAACACATACACATGTGGATTACTCTTTAACTTTGCTTCTCCTCTTGCATCCAGTAACACTTTTAACAATATCTACATCAGTTGTGCCTGGTGAATAAGGGCAGGAAGAGATAAGTCAGAGATTTACCACAAAAAGTGTGTGCAAAAAGAATCATGATGTTATAAATGATCATAGAATAGCCAAAAATCTGCTACAATTCATGAACTATGAACTACTATCCGGTTTCCTATTTCATTGTCTCATGATCAGTGAGTGCTTCAGACTGAGACTCGTATCAGCATATTAAAAACCTCAGTAGTAGTAAGAAAAGTAAAAGAAGGTGTGTAGTTCTATTGAAGTCGTTTGTTTTGCATAATTTCTTTTTACAAATGAAAACCCGACAGAGGATGTTTGAGCTGTAAAATGTTTGACATTCATTTTGTTTCCAGCCAATTAGACTGGCGATCTCTTTGGAATTTGAACAATTCATGTATTTAATTTTAGATAAATTAATGCCGTATAGCCTAGATTTATTTTTCTCTTTTTTATTGATTTCATTGAGCTGCTGTCTATCAGACTAACAGATGTCTTTAAGAAAATTAAGACTTTATATACAGATCTGCAGATGATGGTCATTTTTTGATTTGATTTCTGAAGATACGGAAGACTCTGGATTTACTTTTAACAACATGTTACTCATATTATGGCTGTTTCCTTTTTCACTTTCTCATAATCAGTAGGTCATGGGATTGATAAAATATACTTTCTCTTAAAATGAAAAGGAGAAGGAAGATTTTAGAAATGTTTTACTTTAAGGACAAGAAAAGGCTGGTTATTATGACAGTAGTTCCTGTACTACAGTACTGTAAAGTAATTGGGGTCGATGGTGGTGCATGGAGTAGAGATGCGCAAGGCTGGCGGTCCGAACCCTGGCTCCCCCATGTCCCATGTCGCAGTGTCCCCGAGCAAGACACCTAACCCCTAATTACTCCCCGGGCAAAAATGTAAAAATCCTGGGTTAAAAATGCAATGTTAGTCGCTTTGGATAAAAGCGTCAGCTAAATGACCTGAATAGTAATGTCAACTCTAACTATATAATATGTTTTACAGTCACTGCTGGATTTTAATTCCATTCAGTAGGATTCATTGAGAAGAGCAGAAACACATGCTGCATCAGCATTACTACTTGCTTTAATAAGATGTTCAGATCTTTTCAGAATAAAGTGCAAAGATCAACTCCTAACTTTGGGTTAACTGTTTCATTTCAGATTGGTTGTTGATTCCCATAATCTTTCTGTACGACGTCATATTGGTTCACCTTTTGATCGTTAATAGAAGTACATATGGAGTCTGTCTACATTTTCCTACTGGGTGATAATTGTTTAGTCAAATTATACAATTTACATTTTACAGGAACAAAGTCAGGGCAGCATACTTACTGATTAAGACCCTTGTTGTCAAGTTGCTGTAAAGCCTTTTGTAATCAACTTTTTTCTCCACGTTCTTCTCTTCAGTTCCACAGTAGTAGATTCCCTCATCAGAATCAGTGATGTTCATGATCAGCAGGTCATAGGAATTAGAAGAAGAGTTTTTCACAAATTGAAAACGAGGAAAATTCTGAGGATCTTTGGTGTCACTGGCCGGATTGTATCCTAATGTGGATGAACTACGGTCTACTTTAAGGACGAGAGATGGGTGGTTCTCATGAGAGCAGTTCCTGTACCACACTATGTATACTCCAGTTGATAGTTTACAATCACAGTAGAGAGTGATGTTGTCTCCTGGTCTGACTGTCACTGATCCAGAGATCCAATCATGACTGCAGGATGCAACTCCTGGAAAACAGAGAAAATGGTAAAAGCAGATTGAAATGTGCTCCGTGTTGGATGATTTCACATTACAGCAGGGGCAGATTTCTGCTCAACACAACAACAATGAGAGCGTAATTAAAACATCCAAAATAAGTCTCCATAGACTTACCTAAGAGAGCGACTAGAAAAGTGTGCAGCCCGTCCATGAGTGATGATGACCGAAAGTTAACAGACAGACTGATTTTACCCAAAGATGTGATGCCTTTGAAGACAAAGTGTTCAATGTGATTGGCCAGTCAAGTGGAACATTTTCTTCTGTGGGATCTTTCTATTGGTGCAAAGATGTTTGTGGTATTCTGCGCCTTCCTGCTTCCCGTACGTGATTACTCTGTAACGAACACAATAAGATGAGCCCAACTGAGGGCTTGACATTACACAGCCTTGTATTTTATACACTGTTGTGTTTGTACAGTAGTACGTACAGTATGCTGAGGGGTTTATAGACATGAAGGACCAGAAGTTTGCATTCCTCAAAATAAATAAATAAGGACCGTGTTGGATACAGTGAGCTTCATTTACAGTTCCAACAAGTCGCTATAGTGGCCAATTTACTTTATTATTATTATTGCTGTATTTATGTTTTTATATTATCAATAAGAATATTTAATTATTATAATAAAATGGTCAACACCGTCAAAATGTCTAGTCTCCAACCCAAAATGAAGTTTTACAGAGGACACTATTAGTGACATGTAGCTGGTCTTTGGCTGCTGTGGTAACTCACTCTAATGGTTTACATAGATGATAAACACAGATGAGCTCGCATTCAAAATGTATCTGGAAATTATACGCCCTGTGCGCCTTTTCTGTCAAACAAACTCTACAATGTGATTGGTCACGTGGAGCTTTTTCATCTGTCTTGTTTCTATTGGTCTGAAACATGTGGTCTTCTGAGGTTTCCTCTTGTAGTTAAAACATTAGATTACTGCTGAGCCCTTCTTCCAGTGGGCCTTTGTAGGACTTATGATAGAATACAGCTGGTCAATGTTTTATTTTCTTTAGACTGAGGTTTTTACTCATGTGGCAGAGGTAGAAGACACTAAAATCAACCATTTAGGGGAAAAATCCTTGTTTGTCTCTTTTAACACTTGATTGATATTTTATATTAAACTGGTTATATTTTCACGTTCTTTATTCTCTTTACTGTACTATCCAATAAAATCAAAGAAGTGTAAATAACACAATTTTTTTTGTATATGTGATACAAAAATGCTAAAGTTATGAACAACATAATATGATTGATCCTTATGTCAACTGCCAACAAAAGCCTACTATATTATACTACTTTTCCTTTTACAATAGTACATCATCTTGATTACATACTTGCATATTGAATGCTTTTGAATACAGGACTTGAATACCTGCACGTCTATATACATGTTTATTGCATTATCATTATTAACCCGAGAACATAAAAACCAGACACATGTGCACGTGACATTAAAGTCCACAGCGGCACATTCCTGGAATACCTGTGTAGCCATGTTGTATGTAATTGTGTCTTTACGAACATTATATGTGTGTATACATTTGTATGACTATATAAATATGTAACCCTGCTGGCGTTTCACTTCTACTGGAGCACAATGCTGTACTTCTCCTTCTACTTGATGCTGGTGATGGTCCACTCCTACATTCACCCCCTCACCCCCTTGACTGACCAGCTGGGCCTCACCCTTCCCCACACTCACCCCCTCACCCACCCGAACGACCGTCTGGGCTTCACCCATCCCCACAGTCATCCCCACACTCAGTCCCTCACTCACCTGACCAACCGGCTGGGCCTTACCCTTCCCCACACTCACCCCTTGACCAACCTGACCGACCGGCTGGGCCTCACCCGTCCCCACAGTCAGCTCCACAGTGACCACCTCACCCAACTCCTCACCCACCTGCTGGGCCTCCCCCATCTCCTCACCCACTAGACTTACTAGTAAGTGGCTGGTCCTCACCTGCCCCCTCTTCCTCCCTGGCCTCCCCCCGGTTCTGGTCCCGAGTGGAGGGGTTCTTCTCCGGAAAAACCCTCGCCAGGTGTCCCTCTCCACCACAACGGAAACACCTCCCATCATCCGATGTGACAAACATCACATAGTCAAACCCCTCGATCCTCACCTTGATTACCTGAGAGCATGGGCTTTGGTGAGGACCATGTCGCGCTGTCTCCTGTGAGACAGTGACACCACATGTCTTAGCTAAGGAAACCGGCACCCTGGGGACATCTTCTTTATCTGGGACACCACCTTCCCGTGATTCACCAGCTCAGATAGAGGATAAATAGTTGTTACTGGTTCCCTGATACTTCGCTTGGCTCCAGTAAAAGATTAGATATGGTTTGCTTGAAATCAATGTTTGATAAAAGAGGTTCAAGTAAGGAAGTTGGAGAGATTAGAAAAAGCCGTAGAGAACGTCTCCATCCAGAAGGGATCTACCAGCTGAGATGTGCTAGCTAATACACAAGGCCTCCTCATATACTGCTGTATACCGCTTTGATGTTCAATGAACATTTTTGAGATTTTATCAAAATGTGCTCGCTGCTCGATACTGTTGCTGCAGTTACAATTTACAACATTGAAGGAGATTTTCCACGTTAAAAACGTCTGACAGTTTGATTAATGTTTGTTTTAACATCTCGATTATCTCACAACTGACAAAGAAGATGAAAGATGTAAGAAACAGTTAAACGTTTTAGCTTGTTAGTTTAGATTAAAGTAATCACATGTATTACTCTAAAAGTGTACTTTTCATTTAGCAAACCAGTGCAAACAGGTTCACTTGTGCATTGATGAATCTGCTGGATTAAACACACAAGTTAAATGAATGTTTAAAGTTAACTTGGTTCACATAGCAATGAGCGTAGGAGCCAAGGCAATGTACCCAATCCTGTTTTAGGTTTTTCCTTTATTCAAACCGTTATTTAAATATTTGGTCACTGTGCAGAACAAAAACATGTCTTCAAGTAAGTGTTTTCTTATAGACTATAAACAGTTACATTACTTATTCCCTGCAAATAAAGTTAATTAACTTTGGCTCTTAATTTTGTGACACAAGGAATGAAATATTGTCCCACTGATTGGCCAACCGGTCGGAGCCAAAGAACTAATTCAGAGTCCAGCAGCTATAACAAATGTACAATCAGGATTTAGCTCCATGTCATTTAGTTTTTCTTCAGCTTCTTATTTCACCTTATTTGCTTCATCATTTTCACCTTTTCAATAGAGGCCAGCAGAGTTCCTCTGGTGTGGCCGATGTTACTTTCCTTTTCCTTCTTTTGTAATACCAGAATTTTTTGTTAATTTCCTTAAATACCACGTCTCACTGCAAGAAATCATCGTCCATCCAAAAGTGCTGCACTACGTTGTTCAGACAAACGGCCGATGTCGAGTGAGCCTGTGAGCCCACTGACCGCGGTGAAACCACACTGCACGCTGTCTGCAAACAAAAGACACCCGCGCACAGTGCAGAGCAGAGCATAGCTGTGTTAATTGAAGACAGGCCCTGTGTAGCCCTCTTAGATTCCGGAAGTAATCACACCCTAGTCAGACAGGACAGGCTCCCAAGGGATTTCATTTTATGTAGAGGGACAGTTGATGTTTTCTGTATTCATGGTGACAATGTACGTTACCCCATAGCTGAGGTAGCTATTCAAGTTGAAGGTCAACACTACTTGCTTCCATTAGGAGTTTTTAAGCACCTGCCCTATCAGGTTGTGTTAGGCTCTGATTTACCTATTCTGGCAGAACTGATAGCCAAGCAATCGTGTGAGGCTAACGCACCAGCGAAAATCTGCTAGGTGTTACTAGGTTGAAAACCAAGCAAGAACAAGTTAGTTCAGCAGAGTGGGAGAGCTGCCATTTGCAAATGTGGAAGTCCCCCGAGGGTGAGCACACTAGCCACTGTATGGCTGTGTGTAGGAAGAATTAAACTTTTTTCCGATTCCTAGTGACATTGCTAAGCTACAGAGAGAGGACTCCACACTTGTCACGTTGTTTGCTAAATGTGTACCTGAGTCAACCCAGGGGATGGGTAGAGGGAAGGAAGCATTTGTGGTCAAGGGAGACAAGTTGTATCGGCGTAGCCAGATTGGTGATCAGTTAGTCATTCCACAGAGTTAAGACCCATTATCCTTAACCTGAGCCACTCTATCCCATGGGCGGGACACTTGGGACAGGCTAAAACATTTCCGAGAATGGTTACTCGGTTCTATTGCCCCCAGCAGAACGCAGAAATAATAAAATGGTGCCGGTCTTGTCCACAGTGTTATCGGCTCCAGGCAGGAATGGAGATAGAGCTCCCCTCATTAGCATGCCCATCATAGATGCACCCTTTTCCCACATTGCCATGGACGTGGTAGGTGTAGACTTTAGTGTACACTAAAAAGGTGTAGTGTAGGCCACAGGTACATACTGGTGGTTTGCGATTATGCCACAAGATACCCTGAAGCCTTCCCCTTGAAAAAGATCAAGGCTCGCTCATTTAGATGTTTTCCAGAGTGGGAATCCACAAGGAGATCATCACAGACCAAGGCACCAACTTCACCTTAATGCCTGCTAAAAGAAGTGTACAGCATGCTGGAAATTCAGGGGGTAAAGACCAGTCCCTACCATCCACAAACGGATGGCCTAGTGGAGCGCTTCAACAAGACCCTCAAGTCTATGCTGAAGAAGTTTGTGAATTACTCCGGGTCAGATTGGGACCGATGGCTGCCATTCGTGCTGTTTGCATACAGAGAGGTTCCACAAGCCTCTACAGGGTTTTCGCCTTTCCAGCGGCTATATGGACATCCAGTGAGGGGTCCCATGGATGTCTTGAATGATGCCTGGGAGGGTCCTATGCCACAACAGCAGTGCAGTGAGCTCTCGTATGTCCTGAAAATGAGAGGCAAACTGAACCAATATCAGGAGCTAGCCAATGGTCATCTGGCGGACGCACAGCAGCGTCAGAAGAGGAGTTATGATAAGGCATCGAAGAGAAGAATTTTCCAGGAGGGCCAGAAAGTTCTGTTATTGCTACCAACATCAGACAGTGGTCTCCTGGCTAAGTGGCAGGGGCAATATAAGATTACAAAAAAGCTGGCCCTGTTACGTATGAACTCTTTTTACCAGATCAGCGGAAAAAGAATCAAGTCCGTGAACCTTCTAAAAGAGTGGGTAGACCAATCGGAGCAGTCTTCAATGTGGGCACGCACAGTTGTGGATGAGGAAGAACTTCAGGAGCAGTATTTTCCCACATCAACGGAGACTCCAGTGTTTCCAGATCTGAGTCATCTGGAGCCAGGAAAACGCAGGAAACTACAGGCCTTCATGCATAAAGATCTCTTTAGTCTAAAGCCAGGTTGTACAAACCTCATCGACCACCACATTCATCTGTATTCACCAGCGCAGCGGCCAATCAGGGACACCACCTGCTGCATTCCAGCCAGACTGGTCCCAGGATTAAAGCAGGAAGTGGAGGAGATGCTGGCTACAGGAATCATCGAGCCTTTGCGGAGTGAGTGGTGTAGCCCAGTGGTTTTGGTTCCAAAGAAAGATGATCCGAAGCTGAGATTTTGTGTTAACTTCTCAAAGTTACATGCTGTGTCTGCCTTTGATTCC